GAATATTCATCATCATCATTTTTGTCAGTAGAAGTATCGTCATGATGTTTATTTTCATCCAAAGTGTTTTCCATTTTAAAAATTATTTGTGGCGTATAATTTGTCAAATATGTATTACACAAAATATTGATATTTACGATTTGTGTACCTGAATTAGCATTACGTAAATAAATCCGGCATATCATTTGACTGGAAACAATTAATTGTAACGATTACGAACTAAATCAATAATTTTTTTAATTAATTTTACAAGTCTTTTTTTTAAAAAAATGGAAAAAATGGAAAAAATGGAAAAAATTGAAAAACAATTAGACGTTGCACTTAAAAACTTAGAAGAATCCAAGGAGAAGTTGGAGGAGTGAGGGAAGGGGAAAGGGAAGAGATTGGACGAGTTAGTGGATAAATTGTATAAAGAAGAATGGAGAAATGAAGACCAGAAGAAGGGTTAAAGGACAAGTTAAAAAAAAAAGGAGGAGTTGAAGAAAGACAAAGAATATTGGAAAGAGCAGGTGAAGGAGTGGGGAAGTCGTTATATGAATTTAATAAAGGTGAAGGTAATGAACAAATTGCGTAAGAAAATATACAAATAATCATTTTTCATTCATTCCATTCCATTTCGTTTATTTATTTACTTTTTTTCTTTTAGGTGTGAACCGTAGGTCCTAATTGGAATTAGAAAGTGAAGGTAAGCTTGCTTGCTTTTCTTAAATTTAATGTATCAAAATATTTTGCCAAACTAATTATGTTTCTGCATAAAAAAATATACAAAAAATTATTTTCCATTTATTCCATCTCATTTATCTTATTTTATTTATTCAAATGGGAATCCATATATTTTAACTTGTTATTTTGTTTTATTTTCTTTTGCATTTGTTGTCCAACCTTCCAAAGAAATTAATACACAATATAACAACATCCTTGATGAAATATGAGATATTAAGCAGCAATTTGATGAACAAAATACCAAGTCTATAAATATGTCGCAAGTCACATACAAAATAATTCAGAAAGTATTTGATGCAATGAAATCTCAGTTCCATTGACTCATTCTCTTGTAGAAAATGATGAGCTGCTTGCACAATTGACATTAAATGTCAAATTTGACTTGCTTAAATTTGAATGGAGAAATTATACAGTAAACTCTAAAGCAGCTCTGCATCACTTTCAAAATTTACTTCAACAGTGGCCTTCAAGGTTATTTTATTAGATCATCAAGGGTTAAATCAGAGAGTAACACCATTAACACTTACGTTTGAGATATCAGATATAAGAATATCAGGCAAATCTGATTTGTATGTTTTGCGGGATAGCATTGATCCAATGTCTAATATTATTATATTAGTAGAATTAAATAAATCTGATAATTCGATGATATTATCCAATTTATATCAAGCAACTACACAGTTAATCGCAGCCCACATATCTTCTTCTTTTATTTCATTGCAAATTTGACTGATATTCAAGACAATTGGATATTACAATGGATTGGCAAGGATAAGGGGTTAAAATTGCATCAACTTGAACTTAAGCCAGGAAATCAATCAATTATGCCTCAAACTGCAGCAGCTGGTATCATAGACTGTTGGTTGAGGGCAAATATATACAATAAAAAGATTAGTAAAAGACAATGAATTGGAAATTATGAACGTTTGTTTCCTTGAAACATTCAAAAACTTTAGCACACTTCAAGAATTTAAATTTGCAGTAATAATGTAGTGAAAAAATTGATTTAAAAGGAAAATCAGTATAAGAACCGGAGCAAGGTATTGCAGATATGGATGATTTAATGGAATTTATGGATGAAAATGAATACAAAAAATTTCATTCGAAGAAGATTCTAACTGAATATTGGTCACAGGCCCATGTAAAACCCCACCTAAAAGGAATCAATCCATTCACATATGCATCTGCTTCTGTTGAGAATTTCTACAATCAATTTGAATCATCCTCAACAAGAGTAAATGAATGTCGATAAAATGATTGTAAATGCAATCAATTTAAGATATATGATTAAGATAAAACATGAACAATGTATGAAAAAATCAAACAAATTCATTTAAAAACCAAATTTACAACCCAAAAAATGGTTTTTTTGCATATTCTAATAAAATTTCCATTGTTGCTGATTCAACGTTACCCGGATCACCATCAACTGTATTTTTGTTATTTTTGATAAATTCACTTTCGCTTAATCTTTTTCATCATACTTTCTTTAGTGCGTTGACTTTTTTTTTGATTTCGACTTGAAAATAGTCCAAACATATCAAATATTTAGATTGGCACTAATGTTGGTTTCCAAAACTAGAGAGTTTCGCAACTGTGCGAAAGTCAAAAGGTTTCTCCATAAGTCGAAACTAGTTTTGACCTTTGACTTTTGACTTTTGATTTAGTTTTGACATATAAATTTTAATTTTAGTTTTGACTTTCACTTCTTCAAAATAGTTTCAGCAACCAATACTAATTGGAACCTTTGTAGACAATGATTGTAATAACCATGTCCACATACAAGTACACTACAATTATTCAAATTAGTATATAATATATGTAATCGCAAAAAATGTTTGTAGATGGTTTCCTAGAAGTAACAATGCCGCTTGGAAAGGTGACTTTCGGTCAATTCGTAAACTAAAGAAGGCAATTAACACAATTAGATGAAGTTTTGGTAATCAAAGGATACTGATTTCGTGCTTGATATAGTGGTAGTACCTACCGAATCTAAATAGGATGCAAGGTCGAACTTAATTTCTGTATTATTTAAAATGAAGCAAGAAGATAACATATGAACACCATTAACCTCTTCATATGGTCCATTGTTTGTTCATTACATTCAAATGGCCAAGCTGCTAAATAGAGTTGTTCAAAAAACCCCTTCAAGCTTGGTTCTATTTCTTGGAACAATCTTCGTATTTCATCAAAATTCTATATAGGACCTTCTTTATTTGAACATTCTCTTTCATAAAAGATTTTGATCATCATCTTCATGTTTGTTTTATCAATGTTTTCAGTTGTTACATTTTATTTTGTGTTTTTTTTTTTTTTGATCTTATTTCATGTTTGTTTACGTTTTCAGTTGAAACCTTTTTATCATTGATATTAGTAATGGCAACATTTAATCATTATAATCAGGATCTTTTACCACTTCTACCGTTGCTTCTGCTGTTGCTGTTGATAAATAGAGAAGACAACATCGAACGTGTTTGTGAAGAGAAAGTTGACAAGGAAGAAGATAATGCCGAAGACATCCATGGAGAATTTGTCGTAGTTAATGGTGATGACAATAATAAACTGTGAAATAATCTTGATTCTATACTCTTCAATTTTTTAGTGATTGAAGCAACTTTTGTGTTTTTTCTTTGTGCTGTTGGATGATGATGATGATGATGATGATAAATTCCTTGGATATAAGAATGCCTACTTGCAATAATAGCTTCTCGCTTCTCACCAACATACAAACCTTCAGAATCATGAAACGTGATACTTTTGCTGATGTAATCTGCTACTGATACCTCCACGTCTTTTTTATCCTTATCTTCTTTTGAAAAGCATTGTATGCTTGGAGTGAAATCTTAAACATCATCTATCTTGATAACTTCATAACCTCTTCGGAAAATGTCATTAGATGATGAAAAAAATTTGCAGGTAATTAAATAATAAAATATTACATTTATTGTTGTTGTTATTTGGAGCTAGTATTTATAACTTAAAATAATCAACGATAAAGTAGAATTACAAACGAGAACCAAGTATTTCTTTAATAGATAAAGGTGTTGTAGATTTACAGGTACGTCAGTATCACTACGTTTCCTGCGACGCCTTGCTGACATTTTGAGAGTAGTATAAACAAAGGATAATTAAAAACATGAAAATATATGAAACACTAAAAAACAAATATATATACTTTTTTTATACTTGTAAAATTTAAGAAAGTTTAAAATTATATCAGTGATTAATTAACAAATTTAAATGTAAAAAATGTTTACTTGTCTGTAATATTGCAAAATCACACAAAGACCAAGCTTATTGGAAGTATTGAATAGCATTTCATAAAAATGTGGTAAATAAATATTTTCGAATTATTGTATTATTCCAATTTTACAACCAATTCATGTTTTGGAAAACCCAATATAAATTTATTTAGAGGTTGGAATCGACTAAACTTTTTTTTGAACAACTAATAGTCGACTATTTTAATCAATTATCATTATTTAGCAGTCAAACGATATTAGTATTAGTATTAGTATATATTATTAGTCAACTATTTTAGTCGATTTATTTAGTTGACGATTTTAGTCGACTAATTAGTCAATTAGTCGACCACCAATACTACTAATACTATGTTAAATATTATTATTGTCCGACCAATTACGATTTTTGTGTTTTATCATTCAAAATGAAAAATTTCTATGCGGAAGAGCATCAATACCATCAATATAATGATGATGACAATAGTAGTGATGTTGTTGATGATAATTTTACATGCGAATGAATAAACACTTCCAATACAAGGTCCAATAATTCATTGGCTTCAAGTTCCAATGATTTAAGCGGTGGTTCCAGAAGACTTTTAAAAACTAAATCGAACACATGGTTTTGTGTGGAAGCATTTTGAAAAAGTGAAAGATTCAAATGGAAATGAATTCGTAATTTGCAAATTAAAAAAAAAATCGAAATATTATCATCATTATTATTATTATTATAAAAATTTAGTAGTCGACTAAAAATAATTGATTAAATAATCGACTAAAATAGTCAACTAAGGATTTTTTGAACGATTCCAACATCTAAATTTATTTATTTTTAAAGAAATAATTTGTAAATTTAAGATGATTAAATAATCATTAAACAACACCACCACACACTGTTTAATGTTAAAAATGGCATCGATCATTGTCATGTTTACCATATTAAATTTACAGCCTCTATCAATGTGTTGAACAACATTTTTTAATTTCCTGATGTAGTGTATTTACTGGTACCCCATTACCAATTTGGGATCATTTGACCAGTAAAAAGAAACCAATATATTATATATAAGCAAAGAAAGATAGGACCCTAAATTAACACAAAAAACTTAATCATGCACAAACATAACAAACATGACAGCCTGATAGCTTGATTGGCAGTCTTGGTTTCCATGCAATTTTTTTTTTATTATATAATTAATTACACATCTTTAATAAAACAAACAAGACTTAGCTATTTAATCATTTCCTTGTATATGAATGTCTTCATCCATCAAATATTCATGATGGACATGATTATTATTAATACATTTGATATCATCATTGGCATAACAAACAATTGTATCACCCAGGTAGTAATGATACCAAGGCCATGCATAAATGAAATTTTTAATAATGTGTGTCTACCCAGATCTCTGGGGTTCACAAAATAAATTACTTTTCCTGGTTATCAATTGTAGTTCCCATTGTGTAGTTCCTTATGAATAATAAATCTGATGTTGATCACAGGTATCAGATTTAATTAAAATTTTCCTGTTACAAGCATGCAAGCGAATGCAAATAATTGCACACCCATAGCAATATAGAATTTTTCCCATGAGTATGGGCAGATTGAACATGATGAAGGCTTTGGACAAAACATTCCCTTATCTTCCTCTCAGACCAGGCTTGGCTGTTACCATATCAGAATTGATCACTGATAGCTGCTTGTATGATGCTTGCTTTGTGCTATCACCCTCTCACTAAAATAAAATAACAAGTTCGGTTGGTCAAACAAAAATTAAGAGAAACAGAGAATTTATGAAAATGATTAATTTATAACATACCAAACAAATCTGAACCATTTTATTTGACAGCTTTCTCCTTGATTCCAGTGACCATGGTGACTCTCACAATAGGAGTGGGCAAAATCAAACTGCCACCTTTATACTTGTAAAAACATACTCTTATTGAGTTACACTCCTTTGACCTAGGGTGGGTTATATGGGCAAAAGCCCCCATTTAAAAAATAACAAGTTCAGTTGGTCAAATAGAAATCAAGAGAAACAGAAAATTTTATGGGAATGTAATTTATAACATCATCACATACCAAATCAAAACCATTTTATGCCTTTCTCTTGTTGGCCATATTGCTGACAAAGATGTATATAATCATGTGGTAAGTTTAATCTACAGAGCAGAGGACTGATTGGGCAAAAACCCATCCAGTCCCCTGCTCAAAATTATAAATTAGTTGGTATCAGAGAAACAGAGCATTTAGAAAAACGATTATACAAAACAAACACTATTTTACAACTTTCCTCTTAACATCAGAGTCCAAATGCAATTTCAGAGTCAGCTGCAGATTCTCTCCAGAGTTGCAACAGCTTTGTCACAGAGCCATCCTTACCCTAGAGGTAGGATCATTGCAGGCTAATATGGCAAGCCTTCTCTAGCCTGGGTGCTGTGAGGGAAGATTAGTGAAAGTGTCATTGACGACTGATCAGTTCAGTAACTCCAGGCCGCGCCTCCCCCCCTGGAGTTCAGTTGCATCATTGTATCATCGGGGGATCAAGTCAGATTAGCCCTGTGTACATGAGGAACGTGTGAGAATGATTGTAAATGTTCAAGGTAGCGTGCGTTCTTCAACGTTTGCCAATTTCCGATAATCAAAATGTCTCTTTTTCAATGGTGTGCTGCCTTGACATCTTGTAGTTAAATTATAGTAATATTAATATTAACGATTATGAAAAGCAAAATACACAAGCTTGATAAAAATCTTATTATTACCCAGCTCCGCGTTTTGATTTCCAAATAAAATATTTATATAAACTAAAAGACACCACATTATATCAATACAAATAAAAACAAGTACCTCTGGTTAATTATTAACACGTCTTCTTTAGGAGACCCAAACCAAACCAAACAACAACACTCACCTTGGACCATGTCAAAAAATAAATTGTTTTTCCAAAAAAAAAACGTGTCCCAAAAAAAAACCAATAGGATAAATAATTGATGTGTACACGTCGATCAAATCACAAACTTTAAAAATGTATAATAATAAACAAGGCAAAAGTAAAAGATAATATTAAATCTTCATTAAAGTAAGTGTTCATTGTAAGAATGGTGGTTATCGCCCGCCACTCGTCGTCACTCTAGTTTATTTATTTATTTTTATTTTATTTATTTTTATTTTATTTATTTGTTTATTTATTTATTTATTTATTATTATATTAGAAAATATCCCATTAGAAAAAAACAATTGGGACTTTTCCAAATACACTTCTTGAAATATTTTTCCAGATTTGTGAAAATTTACCACCATCAGATTTGTTGGCACTAGCACAAACATGTTCAAGATTCCATTTTATCTTAATGGATAAATGTGATGAAACTCAACAAATTTGGAAGAAAGCAAGAACAGCTTATTTTGAAAGAATGCAACGACCTCCCCCACCAAATTGGAATGAATTAGAATATATTAGATTCTTCCTTGCTTCACCTCGATCCTGCATATTTTGTGGTATTGTTGAATCAACTGAAG